ATTTACTTTCAACTTTGTTTTATATTTGAGTCTGAAGTGTGTCTCCTGTAGGCAGCATATAGTTGGACCTTATCTTTTTTTGGTCTGGTTTGACACTTTGCCTTTTGATTGGATTATTTAATCTGTTAACATGTAATGTTATTTCTATAGTTAGGTTTAGGTCTGCCATTTATTTTTGTTTCTATATATCCTCTCATTTTTGTTCCTGTATTCCTTTTTTCCTGCTTTCTTTTGCATTAAGTGAATATTTTCTAGTGTGACACTTTGTTTTCTTTATAATTTTTCAATATATATATTTAGTGGTTCTAGAGGTTACAAAATATATCTAGTATATGCTGTATATATATCTAATAAATTCTAGTAAGAATTTATTTCACATTTATAATAACTTAGTTGGGTGAGATATAGAAACGTTTCTATTTAGCTCATTTTCCTCCCCCTTTTTTATTTTGTACTATTATTGCTCTACATATTGCATCTAGATATGTTAGAAACCCAACAAATACCTTGTTATAATTATTACCTTATGTAACTTTTTGTTTTTTAAAGAAACTGACAGAAGAAAGGAGCACAGGACATATCTGTAGCATTTGTTTTATTACTCTCTTAGTTACCGTTTCTGGTTTTCTTCATTTGTTTTCAACCAAAGTCATTTCCTTAGTGTGATACAACTTTAGTCCCATCCACTTCCTTTCTTTTTTTTTTTAAAGATTTATTTGACACAGAGAGAGAGACAGCTAGAGAGGGAACACAAGCAGGGGGAGTGGGAGAGGGAGAAGTAGGCTCCTGGCTGAGCAGGGAGCCCGATGCGGGGCTCGATCCCAGGACCCTGGGATCATGACCTGAGCAGAAGGCAGACGCTTAACGACTGAGCCACCCAGGCGCCTCCCATCCACTTCCTTTCTGCTGTTATTCACAAATATATTACATTTTTATGTTATGGGTCCAAAAACATAATTATATACATATTTTTCTACACAATTTCTTTACAAAAATTAAGAGAAGAAAGCAGAATTAATAGGCATTTACTTATATTGTCAAATTATGTAATCACCTTTCCCAGTGCCCTTTTTCATTTTCATGTGAATTTGAATTACTCCTGGGATCAGTTGTTTTGAGCCTGGACAACTTTATTTAGTATTTCTTGTATGGTGTGTCTGCTAGTCAACCAGTCCACTCAGTTTTATTCTGGGAGTGTTTTTTTTTTTTTTTTTTAAGATTTTATTTATTTATTTGACAGAGAGAAAAAGAGGGGAGGGGGAGAGGGAGAAGTAGTCTCCCCACTGAGCAGAGAGCCCAAAATGGGGCTCAATCCCAGGGTTCTGGGATCCTGACCCGAGTCAAAGGCAGACGCTTAACCGACTGAGCCAGGCACCCCTATCTGGGAATGTCTTTATTTTGCCTTCAATTTTGAAAGATATTTTTAATGAATATCTGATTGTTGGTGATTTTTTTTTTTGCTTTCGGCAAGTGGAATATGTCATTTCACTGCCTTCTGGCCTCCATTGTTTTTGATGAGAGGTCAGCTGTTAATCCTATTGAGGATCTCGTGTAAATAAGGGGTCATTTTTCTCTTGCTGTTCTCAAGATTTTCTTTTAATAGTCGAACACTTTTATTTTGAAGTGTCTTGGTGTGGATCTCTTTGAATGTATTAGAGTTTGTTGAACTATTTGGACATCTAGATTATTCTTCCTCAGATTTGGGGAGTTGTCAGCCATTATTTCTTTGAATATTTTTCTGTTTCTTTATCTCTCTTTCTGTTTCTCTTGTCCTCCCTCTCTGGTACTCACATTATGCCTATGTTGCTGTGCCTTTCAGTGGTACACAATTCTCTGAGGCTGTGTTCATTTTTCTTCATTATTTTTTCTCTCCATTCTTTGGATTTAATAATCTCCATTCATCTATCTTCAAGTTCACTGATCTTCTACTCATTCAGTTTCACTGTTGAGCCCCTCTAGTGGATTTTTTTGTTGCTGTATTTTTTTTAACTACCGAAGTTGTTTTTTTTTCCTTTAATAATATCTATCTTTCTGGCAATCATCTCTATTTGATGATGTCATCATACCTTCCTTCGCTTGTTTAAGCATGGTCTCCTTTAGCCTTTTGAACATATTTATAATGTTTACTTTGAAGTTTTTGTTATTAGATCTGACAGCCAGTCCTTCTCATAGGTGGTTTTTCTTGCCTGCCTTTTTTCCTGTGTGTCATACTTTTCTTTTTCTTTGCATGTTGTGTAACTTGTTATTCAAAACTAATATGTTGGGGTGCCTAGGTGGCTCAGTTGGTTAAGCATCTGCCTTTGGCTCAGGTCATGATCTCAGGGTCCTGGGGTCGAGCCCTGCATTGGACTCCCTGCTCAACAGGGAGTCTGCTTCTCTCTCTCCTTCTGCCCCCCTTCAACTAAATGAATAAATAAATAAAATCTTTAAAAAATTTAATATATTGCAGCAACTCTGGATTCTGCCCCCTGTTTCCTTGAGTGTATTATTGTTTGCTTTTTTTTTTTTTTTTTAAATGTCTGACTGGTTTATTCTAGTGAAGTCTATTTTTCCCCACAGTGGGAAGCCTTTGATGTTGCTCCTCAGAGGGCACAACCATGGGCATAAGCTCAGCCACCCTGAGATGACAGGGCTCTCCTTGACTTTCTCTTTCTCTGATTTCTCTGTTAAGCTGTGTGTCTCTTGGTATCATACCCAGGTATTAGGCTCTACCTTTGCCAGCCATTTACCCTATTGTTTTCAACAATGCCATAGGGCCCAACTTGTTCCATAGTCTGATCCAATTAAATTTAGGCTACTTTTAATATTTGAGGTTTGTTCTGACATCAAGAGGGCCCTTCTTAGTTGTTTTTATTTCTGGTTTTCTCTGATAAACTAGAGCTAGGCCTATGGCCTAGCTTGTATCTGTCATGAAGCTACCATCCTTCTTTTAATTGTTTTTGTTGTATTTGAGAGTGCTGTTACCTTTGAGCTTCCCCACACTGTGTTGAAATAAAGTCAGCGGGCGCCTGGGTGGCTCAGTCGTTAAGCGTCTTCCTTCGGCTCAGGTCATGATCCCAGGGTCCTGGGATCGAGTCCCACATTGGGCTCCCTGCTCCGCAAGAAGCCTGCTTCTCCCTCTCCCAATGTTCCTGCTCTCGCTGTCTCTCTCTCTGTCAAATAAATAAATAAAATCTTTAAAAAAAAAAAAGAAATAAAGTCAGCTTCCCTATAGAGATATTTGGAGTGGGGATCAGGACTGTGGAATGCTTCTTTGTGGGCAGTATCCCTGCTTTAGGAGTGGGGTACTGGGCTACCACCATCTGGTCTTATCTACTTACTTCTTCCAGCATGGAACCTCCATCCTACAAAAGAACTGGGGTGAGGGAGAGTGGGGTCCAGATACTTTTAGTGTGCCATCCCTGAAGTAGAGCCTTCCCTTTATGAGTAGAGATGAGTAAAAGAAGCCTAGAAACCTCTGGATGCACTTGTCTCAAATTTGTCCTCTGCTGTATGCAGCTCATTGTGGGGGAGATCAGAAATGCTGGTGGCCTGCTCCTCCCAGAGAGATACCATAGCCCTCAACTGCGAGCTTGGGAGGGAGAGAGAGAGGGCCTTTGTTGGCCACACTGCCTGATCTGAGAAGGGAAAGGGAGTGAGTCATGATTGAGATGCCACTGTTTCTTGCTGTGCTTACTGAGTTTTAGTAAATCCTCATTAATAATGGTGAAGTCATTTTCTGTATGCCTTCACGCAATTTCCAAAGACTTATTATTTATTTTTAAAGATTTTATTTATTTATTTGAGAGAGAGAGCGAGTACATGAGAGGGGGGAGGGTCAGAGGGAGAAGCAGACTCCCTGCCTATCCAGGGACTCCAGGATCATGACCTGAGCCGAAGGCAGTCGCTTAACCAACTGAGCCACCCAGGCGCCCTCCAAAGACTTTAAATAGTTGTTTTTAAAAATAATTTTCACCAGTTATGCTTGCTTTGCTGGGGAGCAGGTTTGTTGAGCTCTTCATGCTCCCTTTCTGGAAATGGAACTTCAGCTATGAATATTCTTGTTTGTGCCTTCTACTGACATGGACAAGAATTTCTTTAGATTAGAAATACTGGGTTAAAGAGTGTGCAAATGGGAATCAGTTTGGCACAATCATGTAAAGTTGAACAAAGCACTTGTACCAAATTATATTACCATCATCAAGATGTTAAAGTTCCTGTTGCTGCACATCTCTCTAACACTTAATATTGTCATTGGACTTCTTAATTTTTGTCTTTCTAGGTATATATATATAAAGTGATATCTCACTGTGGTCTTAATTTACTTTTCCTCATCATTGCCATTTGTGTTTCTTTTGTGCATTTTGGATATTTGTCCTTTGAACATATGTGAACTAAAATTTTCTCCCATTTTGTCGTTTGGTTTTTACCTGATGGTGTCTTTTGCTAAACAAAAAAAAAATTTTTTTAATACACTTTAATGCATCAGACTTATTTTAAGAAATTCTTCCCTATTCCAAGTTCAGAAAGATAATTTTCTACATTATCTAAGAGTTTAAAAGGTTTTACTTTTTACCTTTGTACTCTTAATGCCCTTGGGGTTTTCTGTGTGGTGTGAAACTTTTAATCTTTTCCATATAGATAACTAATTGACACAGCCTTATTTATCGAATAGTTGCTCTTTGCCTCACTAATCTGCAGTGCCTCCTAGGAGAATTTGATATAACATATCTGCATGGGTCTATTTTGGAATTCTCCAATTTATTCCATCGGTTACATTGTGTAATCTGGTTCCATTACCATTACCATCTTACTGTAGTTCTATAGTTTGATGTCATGAAGGAAAAGTGTTTTGGCTCCTTTTAAGTAGCATAATAATTAGTATACATGGAATTCAGTATGTATTAATCACTTATTCAGAGCATTTTACAGTGTTGAAAGAAATGGTCAGAACACAAAATACATGATGATTGTTTCATTTATTAGCTTAGAAGTCATATTTTGCTTTTTTCTAACTCTAGGAACAGTTTTGATCAAAAGTAACAGTGGCCAGTTGATGTTGGTATCTCCTCAGCAAGCTGTGACAAGAGCAGAGACCACTACTAACATAACTTCAAGGCCAGCTGTACCAACAAATACTCATACAGTCAAAATCTGTACAATGCCGGTAATATACCTTAGTTTTTTTTTTATTTTTTAATTTTTTTATTATTAGTTTTTTTAATCCTCCTTAATTTTCCAGCTATTTTCTTCCTATAAATGTGTGTGTATTTGTCAATAAGAATAATAGATGATTCTGCTCAACTTTTTGAATTAAGCCACTTTCCTTGAACATGTTAATTAAGGTGTTTGGTTTTGTCATTTGGTATTTGCTAAAATACTAATGATTTTTCTTCATACTCAAAGATTTTATAGTCCTCAAGGGAATGTTCAAAGGGCTATTTGTATCTCTAAATGGAAAGAAAATAATCATTCTGTTTCAATTTTAATTTGTGGTATAAAATATTTTTTTTTCAAAGATTTTATTTATTTATTTGAGAGAGAGAATGAGGGAGAGAGAGAGAGCATGAGAGGGGGGAGGGTCAGAGGGAGAAGCAGACTCCCTGCCGAGCAGGGAGCCCGATGCGGGACTCGATCCCGGGACTCCA